GAGCATGCCAAAGAGCTAGGGGCATGGCTCATGTGTTACAGCATTTGCCTCACAAACACAAGGCTCTGAGATCAGCCCCCAGTAAAAAAAAAAAAAAGGCCCCCAGGGCAGAGCCCCTACTCTGCCTGTGCTCCCTGGGGTGAAAATCTTCAGAGGAAAATGAAGAGGAGAAGGGTGTGCACGGCTGATGGGGCCTGCTCCCCCAGAGATGCTGGCTACCTTGAGAGAAAAGGACAAAGTCCCCAGTGACTGACTGAGTGTAGCCTTCTGGTGGGGAAGGAGGGGGTTGCCTGGCAACAAAGGAGGAAGGGAAGGGGGTAGTAAGGAGATAGCAGAGATTCCTGAATCTCTACATCCTCAAGAAGGTCCCGTGGGGGTGCTATGGTACATGCCTGTAATCCCAGCACTCTAGAAGCCATGATAGGAAAGAACAGCCAAGCGCAGGCTGGTGGCTCACATCTGTAATCCTAGCTACTCAGGAGGCTGAGATTTGAGGATCATGGTTCAAAGCCACCCTGAGCAGGAATGTCTGTGAGACTCTTATCCCCAAGGAACCAGCAAAAAGCTGGAAGTAGAGGTACAGCTCAAGTGGTAGAGCACCAGCCTTGAACAACAAAAAAAGCTAAGGGACAGCACCGCACCCAGGTTGACTTCAAGTCCTAGTACCAACACACACACACACACACACACCAATAAAACCAAGACTCATAATGGCAACTCCCTTATACAAATACTTAAAGATTAAAAAATTAATAATAAAGTAAAAAAACAAGACTCTGCTTTTACTAGCCAAGTCTCTTCCCTTCCTGAACCTCATTATACTAGTTGGTAAAGTTAGAGGCAGGAACCCGGTGCCCACAGCCCCAGGGGCAGGATGTGGATTCCCCAGCCCCATAGTCCACTTTGCTCCCTGCCCAGGTTGGGCCTGGGAAAGGGGCAGGGCTGGCTCCCTATAAGCTGAGGACCCCAGCCTTTCTGATCAAGCAGCCACCTGAGCCCCAGCCCTGCCCTCTGCTGCCATGCAACTTGAGCCGCAGCCTGGGTTCTCATGAAACAGAGCCGCCCCCAGGTGCAGAGACTACAGGGCATTCTGGGAGGCCCTACTTCTTCCTCAAGACTAAAGCTGCAAGGCAGGGCTGGAAATCTGGACCCCAGGCACAATCCACCCAGCACTCAGGGGGGATTGATGGAACTCAAGTGGGTCATGCACAGGGAGGCCTGTAGGCTGGGGCTTAGACTTCCAGTTCAGCCTTAGGGGTCTTCATCCCCCTCAGGGCCCCAGCAGAGCCTCCCAGGCCTCCCCCCCCCCAACAGCCATGGGCCCCTGTTCTGGAATGACCACTAGGGACCTGCTATTAAAGCCCCTTGGATCATAAGTCAGGTGCATACGTGGGCAGGAAGTAAGACCTAGTTCAACAGCAAAGAGTGGAAGCCAGAGCTAGAGGCATGGTTCAAGCAGTAGAGTGCTAGCTCTGCAAGCAAAAGGCCCGAGTTCAATCTCTAGTGCCACAGTCAGCCTGCTGGCAGGCTCCCAGGGAAACGGGGTAGAGACAGACCTCCTGCTGGTCTCAAGAGGACAGAGAAGGGAGCCCAGGTCACCAGCTCTGCCCTGCCTCTAATGCAGATGGGCCACACCGTCTCTCCTGGTTCCACAGTCCATTCAGGGCAGCCAAGGTCCTGGGGGAGCCTCTGCTCCTCTGAGCTCTCCACTAGCTGCTTTGGGGGTAAGTGCTCTTTGGGTTCAGCTCCCTGTACTGTGTGTGAGCTGTGAGCCATGGCTCATCTGGGGCTGGGCCTCCAGGATGGTTTCGTGTTCCTGTCTTCTTTGCCAGACTTCGCCAGGTTCAGGTCACAGTTGGTCACGTGGGTCTCAGCCCCAGGATTAGGGCCCATGTGTGGCCAGTTCCAGTACCACAATGAATGAATAAGCTAAAGGAAATTCGAGAAAGGAGGGAGGGGGTGAGGAAGGGACAGAGAAAGAACCAATGGGTGAAAGGTTGAGAGGGTGAATGAGTGGGTGAAAGCAGAAGGGAAGGGAGGGCTGGGTGAATGGGTAAAGGGTGAGAAAAGAGATGAATGGGTGGGTGAAGGGGGAAGGAGGGATGAATGAATGCTTCGAGGAGGGAAGAAGTGAATGGACGGGTGATGAAGGAATGAATCTCGTCGGTGTTGCTTGTGGGACAGCCAACACTGCTGGACTTGCTGCTCCATTTTCCTGTCCTCTGGAACCTTATCCACCCCACCCCTTCTCCATCCAAGTTGGACTTCAGGACCCAGAAGCTTTCCCTGAGCACCCACCACACAGTAGCCCCCTATATCTCCATCATCTCTCCTTGATCCTCAGATCTCAGCTAAGACATAAGCCACCAGCGCCTGACCTTTTCTGCTCTTGTTGTATGTAATCTTTTTTTTTTTTTTTTTTTTGGTCAGTCATGGGGCCTGAACTCGGCCCGCGCACTGTCCCTTAGCTCTTCAGCTCAAGGCTAATACTCTACCATTTGAGTACCATTTGAGCTACAACACCACTTCTGGCCTTTTCTGCTTATGTGGTGCCGAGGAATCAAACTCAGGGCCTCATGCATGCAAGGCAAGCATTCTACCATTGAGCCACCTTCCCAGCCCTGTATGTAATCTTGGGGCTTGGACTCAGGGCCTGGACAGTGTACCTGAGCTTCTTTTGTTCAAGGCTGGCACTCTACCACTTGAGCCACAGCACCACTTCTATTTCTGTTTATGTGGTACTGAATCAAACCTAGGGCTTCCTGCATGTTAGGCAAGCACTCTACCACTAAGGCAAATCCCCAACTCTGTATGTGATCTTAACATTCCTGTGGCTATACTAGGTAAGACTCTAGGATTTTTTTCTGTGTGCATGTATGAGTTACATATGTGCAAGTATTCTGTGTGCTTGCTGTGTGTGTATACTATACTGGTGAGAACTGAATTACACTGATAAGTTTAAAGAGAAAAAATGGTTTTTGGTGATGCTGAATTTGAACTCAAGACCTTATGTTACTAGGCATGTGCTCTGCCACTTGGACCACACCCTCAGCCTTTTTGCAGATAGGGTCTCATTAGCTTTGCCTAGAGTGGCCTAGGGCCACGATCCCTGTCTCTACCTCCTGAGATTCTGGGAGACTGTTTCACACCATGCACCCCCCCACCCCCCACCACTTCAATCTCAGCTTTGCACCATCTGAACCAGGATCAGACCAGGGCTAGCCTCAAACACATGATCCTCCTCCCTCAGCCTCCAAGAGCTGGGATTACAGAAGTGTGCCATCACATCTATGTTTTTGCTGATCCTGGGGCTTGAACATAGGACTTGGGCACTGTCCCTGAGCACTTCTTTGCTTAAGGCTGGTGCTCTACCACTTGGAGCTACACCACCACTTCCAGTTTTCTGGTAGTTAATTGGAGATTAAAAGTCTCACAGACTTTCCTGCCCAGACTGGCTTTGAACTTCCATTCTGATCTCAGCCTCCTCAGTAGCTAGGATTATAGGTGTGAGTTACCAGTGCCCAGATCATCTGGCTATTTGTTCCCATGAAGCTGTATTGTTTTATGATGACAGATTCGTATGTGCTATGCAATTGGGAGAGGGCTGGAAGATGGGTTTTTCCTGTCACCCAGATCAGCAAACATGCCACACCCAGTGCTAGAGATTTCTGTGGTGGGGGAAGGCCAGAGCATAGTGGGAGGTGAGGCCACGGGGGATGCTAGGCCATGTTGTGAAAAGGGCTGGAGAAAGGGGGCCTTGAGCATCTCTGCATATGCACCTGAGCTATCATTTCTGCATAGTGTACATGCAATGGGCACTTACCTAGACATGAGCATATGTATGTGCTGTGTAATGGAGTCCTGTGCTGCGTGCTTTAACTATTTACACATGCATTTTTTTGTGGGTGGGCGTCTACCTGTTGGAACCAATTTGAAGCTCTTTTTGTGTGCGTGTGCACACATATGCGTGTGCACACACGTGCATGCATGTGCATGCATTGTCATTTGCCTGTGTGGGACGTGCACGCACATGCATGTCCATGTGCGTCCTTTAAGCTCCCGAATGAGGAGGCCAGGGCCACCTGTGACCCCTGTGAGCAGGAACAGATTTCCTACTCTGAGGCCCACACCCCTCTATTCATTGGTCTTTGGGAGTACAGCAGGTTCCCAGGAGGAACAGGGGTTCTGTTGGGAGGCAGTTGATAGTGGGCCTAGGCAGGGTTGGAAGCTCAGTTCTTGAGGTTCTTGGCCCAAGAAAGATGCTTTAAGCCAAGGCAGCCTGTCCCAGAGGTAGCCTGCCAACCACAGACCTGGGAGTAGCGTAGGCCAAGCTTCAAGCCACCTTGGGAGCTGTTTTTGCTGCTGGCAGCTGACCCTGCACTGGGATAGGTCAGAGCACAGACTACAGGAGGTCCCTGCAGGTCTCAGGAGTCCCACATGCCCATATTCCATGCTTGTAGGAGTCTTGTTCCAAAGGCATCACCCTCTCACCCGAGTGCAGAACCCGGCATCCTGGATGGCCAGGTGAGCGATGAGCTCAGTGCCTTTGCCTAAGACCCCTGACCTCCAGGCTCTGTGCTCACAGCTGTGCGTTGCCCTCCTGGCTTTGTGCAGCTCCTGCTTAGGGGCTGCACCCTGAGCAGTCTCTCTGGCTACCCTGGGTGGGCTATGTGCTGTAACAAGGCAGAGTCCCGTTCTTTCTGCTCTGTGACCAGTTTTCACTATTCACAGCTAGCTCCAAGCAGAATGCCCTCTGCAGTGCCCCTGGGCTCTACTGCCCCCAGTGAGCTGCGAAGAACACTGCTGGCTGCCTGGCCCTCCACCTCCCTTCTCCCCAGCACAGCTCCCACTCTGACCCTCTGGTGTGGGCTGTTGACATTTTGAACAACCCTGTCTCTGACCTCTTTGCCACCACAGTGGGCATTGCCAAAGCCCAAACCTAGGTGCTGGCTCCCTTCCTCAGACAGCACAAAAAAGCCACAGGCAGGCAAGCAGGCAAGTTAGGGCAGGTTCTTTATATAAAGGCAGCTGACATGATGACAATGACAGGTCTGAGGGGAGGCTGGGGACATGGCAAATACCTGGGGGGGTGCAGGTATTTGGACACAGACACTACAACCAACATCACTGGGCACAAGGGCTGGGAGGAGGCTGGCAAGAGCTGGGGGGCAGCCCTGCCCTCGTCCCCTGGTCCCCAGAGGAACTGGGCCTGCGGCTGAGGCCGGAGCCTGCAGGTCAGGCAGTGCCTCACTTTCCCCAGGTGAACACTGGGCTAATAAACTGTACATGAGCATAAACAAGCTGAGACAGTACTCCACATAGAGCCTGGCACATGGAGGAACTTAATAAATACTTCTTGTCCAGAAAGGCCTGGCTGCCTTAGGGCATGGCCACTCTGGAGGACTCCTTGGAGCCCGAGGCCCCAGGAGTGCCCAGCACCCCAGAATGCACTGTGCCAGGGCTGCTGGCAGGGGTGGGGGGTTGTGACCCTTGGGAGGTCCCCAAGGAGGCTGGGTACACAGCGGAGGAATTAGGGTTTGGACCAAAATGGTTCTGCACATAACACAGGCCAGAGGCGGGCTGGTAGGGAGGCAAGCTGGGCGTGTGCCCAGGGGCGCAGGCTGGCCAGGGAGCCAGTTTCTGACCGCTGGCCTGCTGCATCTGGGTGACGGGGTAGCTCGGGGACAGGTGCGGGTGGCAGCTCTGGGTGGGGTAGGAGCCGGGCACAGGGTTCAGCCTGGAATGAACAAGAGAGAGCGTCAGTCCTCCAGCAGGCAGGCTCACCTTCCCCAGGAGCTGGGCACAGGCAGGTTGGGTCAGCTCTGGATGGCCATATACACCAGGCAATTCCTGTGGCACAGCTCCTGAACTCACATCTGACTGCTCATGGCATGGAGGGGTGGGAGTTGTCCACAACCTGCAGCCTACACTGTGGCTTGCTCAGCCATCCCACCCCAAGAACTCGGCTTATCCATGGCTCTACCACAGCAAAGCCAGGCTTGGGCCACACTGCCTGCAGCCCTGGAGCCAAAGCTTGCTGGCTGGGAGGAGCTGATGCAACATGGGGGAACCATCTGTGCTGAAGATTTGAGCACAGGTGACTGTGGTAGCACACATCTATAATCTCACGGCTCAGGAGTCAGGAGGATTAAGAGTCTGGGTGTCACAGCAAGACACCGTCTCAGACAACAAGGACACTGCCACACCATGACAGAGGCACACTGAGGGCCAAGTTCCGAGTGCTATGTAAACTGCAGTACCACGGATGCCTTGGTACAGCATCAGCATACTTAGATTTCAACCTTTGCCAAGAGCTGAGTGTTGGTGACTCATGCTGTAGTTCTAGCTATTCAGGAGGCTGAGATCTGAAGATCATGGTAGCCCTGGCCACAAATCTAATTAACTGGCAAACAGCTGGAAGTGAAGCTGTGGCTCAAGTGGTAGAATGCTAGGCTTGAGTATAAAAGCTCAGGGACAGTGCCCAGGCCCTGAGTTCAAGGCCAAGGCTGGCACACACTCATGCATACACAAAATCTGATCTTCCTAATCAGTTGCTTGGCCCTTGTCCAGATACCACTTCCCTTGGCAATAAAAAGTTTCACAGGCCAGGTGCAGTGGCATATGCCCCTAACCCCAGCTACTTGAAAGGCAGAGAGGAACAGGAACACAAGTTCAAGGTCAGTTTGGGCAGAGTTAGCAAGAGCCTGTCTCAAAAACACCCCCAAACCAAATCAAACAAAATTAGTTTCTCAATAAGAGCGACTGGGAAGACAAAACTGTCCAGATGTCCAAAATAAACATGTGTGTTGCAACATTCCCTCATAGGCCACTTGACACACAATGTTCTGTGGTGTCCTCCCCACCCCACCCAGCCTGGTGAAGGGGGGGAGGGGCGCAGGGTGCAAACCTAGTAGACCCGGTATCACGTGGCACAGAGATGGAGTGATTTGGCACACAAGTTTGTTTGGAGTCCCTGAGAGCAGAACCATCCACAGGGGGTGGTGAACAGGGACTGGCAGCTGTCCTTTATTGGGGCAGTGCACCCTGGAACCCAGATCCTCTATTCTAGAGCCACAGCTAAAACCACACAGAACCTTGTGGTCTCTTCCATTCAGACCTGGGGTCTTGCTCAAAGCACAATGGGTAGACGAATTGCCATAATTTCCATTATCCCCCCATGTCCCCCAGTCTTTAAAAATGCTCAAAAAAGGCCGATACCAGTGGTTCACATCTGTAATCCCAGCTATTCAGGAAGCTGAGATCTAAGGATTGCAATTCAAATCCAGCATGGGCAGGAAAGTCCATGAGACTCTTTTTTTTTTTTTGGGTCTGGTTGTGGGGCCTGAACTCTGGACCTGGGTGCTGTCCCTCAGCTCTTCAGCTCAAGGCTAGCGCTCTACCATATGAGCCACGGCGCCACTTCCGGCTTTTTTCTTTTTGCTTATGTGGTGCTGAGGAATCGAACCCAGGACCTCATGCATGCAAGGCAAGCACTCTACCACTGAGCCACCTTCCCAGCCCTCCATGAGACTCTTATCTCCAATTATCACCAGAAAATTGCCCAAGTGGTAAAGTGCCAGCCTTGAAAAAGGTTAAGGAAAACACCTAGGCCTGGTTCAAACTTCAGGATGATCACACATGCACACATGTGCACACACATGCACAGAGTTCCAAAGGTCTCAGGTCATAAAAGACTGGGTGAACTCTTGGCACAGCTTCTGTTTCTGCTGTGACTATGTGAGGACAGAATGGGCACTGACCGCCCTGCTTAGTGCCAAGGCCCTTTGTCCAGAGGCCTGGTGAAGGACAGGCAGGTGAGGGGAAGGACAGGCAGGTCCTGCTGCTGGGAAGGCCATGCAGGCTCCACCTGGGGCATGTAGTGGCAATGGTGGTGTGAGCCTAAGGCAGGGGCCGGGGATTGGAGAGACCACTGGTCTAGCCAGAAGCCTTGTTATCTGGAAATGGCACTCATGGGTCTCCAAAAAGGAGCAAGGCCACATGAGCTCCAAAGACTGGCCTACAACTTTCTACCCGAGTAAATAAGCCCAGTGAGAAAATGGTAAACCTTACCTCAAGATCCCAGGTCAAGCCAGGCACCAGTGGCTCAAGCCTGTAATCCTAGCCACTCAGGAGCCTGAGATCTGAGGATCCTGGTTCAAAGCCAGCTGAGGAGGAAAGTCTATGAGACTCTTTTTTTTTTTTTTTTTTTTCGGCTGTGGGGCTTGAACTCTGGGCTTAGGCACTATCCCTGCGCTCTTTGGCTCAAGGCAAGCGCTCTACCGCTTGAGCCACAGCACCACTTCCGGTTTTCTAGTGGTTAATTGGAGACAAGAGTCTCCCAGACTTTTCTGCCCCAGCTGACTTTAAACTGTGATCCTCAGATTTCAGCCTCCTCAGTAGCTAGGATTATAGGCGTGAGCCACGGTGCAACTCTATGATACTCATCTCCAATTAACCATCAGAAAACCGAAGTGGTACTGTGGCTCAAGTGTAGAGCGCTTGTCTTGAGCTGAAGAGCTGAGAGATAGTACCCAGGCCCAGAGTTCAAGCCCCATGACCGACCGAAAAAAAAAAAAAAAAGACCCAGGTCAGGCCCTGGGCTGCACCCATCTCTCTGGAACACTCACCAGCCTCAGGCCTGACCTTCAGGCCAGCTGTGGCCCACCCTGAGGCAGGCCAGGGATACTTCGGATTACCACAACCTCTGGAAGGCCTTGCCTTGTCTCCAGCTCCCACCGGGTTTCTTCCTTAGTGGCAGCAGCACAAAATTTCCTTCTTTTTATTATTTTTGACAGTACTGGGGTTTGAACTCAAGACTTTGTGCTTACTAGAAAGGTGCTCCACCACTTGAGCCACATCCCAGCCCTTTCTGCCTTCAGTTATTTTCCAGGTAGGGTCTCATGCTTTTGCCCAAGGTTGACCTCAGACAGTGATCCTCTTATGGCTTCTACATGCCTGAGACGATAGACATGCATGCCTATGCTTGGCTTATTGAGATAGGGCTCTTGCTTTTTGCCCATGATCCTCTCAATCTTGAATAACTGGGGTTCCAGGCATGAGCCACTGGGCCTGGCCTCATACTGCTTTCTTTTGTTGCATTGCTAAGGATGGGATCCAAGGCCTTGGATGCTAGGCCCGTGCTCTACCCAAACCACTAAGACCCCACTCCTCAGCCCCTACTCCAATAAGTGCTCAAGCCTGCTCTGCCCCATCACTTATGCCCTGTGGTGGAGCAGGGCCACCCTCCCCCAGCCAGTCACTCACTTCCGGCTCTGGGCCGCTCTTCTTTCCGCTGAGGACCCCGAGATGTACTTGAACACAGATATCCTCCTCATGAGGCTGAAGGGGAACTTCTGGTCCAGCTTCAGTGCCATTCGCTCTGGGACATCCAAGGAGTAGCAGTAGGTGAGGCCGTCTGAGGTGGGTAGGTTAAGTAAAAGTGGAAGCAGCTGGATGAGGGGGAGAACACAGCTCCTACCCCGTGCCTCCAAGGCTGTACACCCCTCCTGCCCAAGCCATCATGCATCCCCCAAGGGGCCTGTCCCATGGATTTTGTGTGCTGCTTTCCCCCAGCAACCCTGTCCCCTACTGTGATGTGGCCCACCTCTGCCTTCGAAACCATGTGGATTCAGTCTACAACAGCTGTGAGGCATCTATTACAGGCCCGGACTGAAAGGCTGAGTCCCGCTGCAAATCCCTTATGTAGAAGGGACAGAAGTGCTCCAGATTTGGGAATTTTTGGAGTTTGGAATTGCATATGAGACATGGGAGTAAAAGCCCAGTTCAAACACAAGATTAGCTTTGGTTTCGCCTCCCCCTCACATGCAGGCTGAAGACTGACCTGCTATGTGAGAAATATTAAAGGAACGTCTTCAGGCTGATGGAAAGTCATACCAGGTAGAAACCTAAATCTAAACAAAAGATAGAACAGGGGGCTGGGAAGGTGGCTCAGTGGTAGAGCGCTTGCCTTGCATGCTCGAGGCCCTGGGTTCAATTCCTCAGCACCACATAAGCCAAAAGAAAAAAGCCGGAAGTGGCGCTGTGACTCAAATGGTAGAGTGCTAGCTGTGAGCTGAAGAGCTGAGGGACAGCACCCAGGCCCAGAGTTCAGGCCCCACAACTGGACCCCCCCCAAAAAAAATTACACTACATAGTAAAGACTAAACAGGACATTTAAAAGGCAGAGAAATAATTGTTTTTTCCACTCCTAGGGCTTGAACTCAGGGCCTGGGCACTGTTTCTGAGCTTCTTTTGCTCAAGGTTAGCACTCTACCACTTGAGCCACAGCACCACTTCTGGCTTATTCTGTATACGTGGTAAATAAGAATCAAACCCAGAAGCCGGGCGCTGGTGGCTCCTAGCTACTCAGGAGGCTGAGATCTGAGGATCATGGTTCAAAGCCAGCCCGGGCAGGAAAGACCGTGAGACTCCTATCTCCAATAAACCACCATAAAACCGGAAGTGGCGCTGTAGCTCAAGTGGTAGAGCGCTGGCCTTGAGCTGAAGAGCTGAGGGACAGGGCCCAGGCCCAGAGTTCAAGCCCCATGACCGACAAAAAAAAAAAAAAAGAATCAAACCCAGGGCTTAATGTAAGCTAGGCCAGCACTCTACTACTAAGACACATCCCCAGCCCTAGAAAAATTATTTATTTATTTATTTTTGTTGGTCATGGGGGTTGATAGCTGGGCCTGGGAGCTCTTCAGCTCAAGGCTAGCACTCTACTACTTCAGCCACAGCACCACTTCTGGTTTTTTCTGTTTATGTATTGCTGAGGTATGGAATACAGGGCCTAAAGCATAAGAGGCAAACACTCTACCACTGAGCCACCTTCTCAGCCCCAGAGAAATAATTTTTTTTTTTTGTTTGGTTGGTCGTGGGGCCTGAGCTCTGGGCCTGGGCACTATCCCTCAGCTCTTCAGCTCAAGGCTAGTGTTCTACCACTTGAGCCACAGCATCACTTCTGGCTTTTTCTGCTTATGTGGTGTTGAGAAATCAAATCCAGGGCCTCATACAAGCAAGGCAAGCACTCCACTACTAAGCCACCTTCCCAGCCCCCAGAGAAATAATTTAGAAGAACTGCAATCATGCAGTGTTCTCAGCCCACTAGAAAATAGCTATCAATAATAAAAAGAAATCTGGCCATGACTGAGTAGCTCACACCTGTAATCCCAGCTACTAGGGAGGCAGAGATTGGGAAGATCAGAGTTCAAGGCAGAAAGGCAGCAAGATCCCATTTCAACAAATAGGCCAGGTGTGGCAGTAAATACCCATGATTACAGCTAAGCAAGGGGCAGAAAGAATCTCCTAGTTTGAGAACAAACCTGGACAAAAAGTATAATACCCTACCTGAGAGATATAGTAAGCAAAAAGGCCTAGGGCCATGGCTCAGGTGATAGAGCACTTGTCTAGTTCCTAGCCATACAAACAAGAATCACATCAGCCTATTGTGGTAATTGGCCTTGCCAAGCTGGCACAGGAAGGTGATGCTGGTATGTTCCAGATGAGGAGATTCTGGTTCCCAGAGGGGAGGCGAACTGCCTAATGTTGTGGCTTCCAAAGCTGGAGCTAAATCCTAGGATGTCTCTATGGGAGCCTACCCTGTACTTGACCTGTGACCCCTCCCCTTGGACCCCCCCCCTTCCCCATGCTGCAGCTCCCACTCCCTTGTAGAAAGGATACACGCCATCCCAATGCACAGGCCACAGACGTTACTGAGGAAGGAGGTCTGGGGAATGAGCCACGAGGCGCCCAACAGGAGCCACGGCACAAGTCCCGAGGGTATAACCACACCGAACACCAGGGCCCGCCTCATCCGAGAGCGGACAGAGGTGACTCCCAGCATGGCAAATGCCACAGGGGTGAACCCTCGGGCATCCTCCACCTCCCCGAGCTTCGACAGTGATGAGACTGCCTCAAAGGACAGGAAGATGATGGCGGAGAAGACAGCAAAGATCAGCGTAAAGAAGCAATGGCGGACGGTGCCCACGGTCCTCTCAAAATTGCCAGCAAAGCGCCAGATGATGATGGCGCCACACAGCAGGGAGATGGGGTTCTCATAGACAAAGATGTAGGTCACCAGCCTGTAAACTAGAGAGAGAGCTGGCTCAGCAGCTGAGGGCGGCTTGCTGACAGGGAAAGCCAGGTTCTAAGTCATCTGAGAGAGGAAGACAGGCCCAGGACAGACAACAGCCAGTGAAAAGCAGGAGGTGGAGGAACAAATGTCGAATTTCCTTCTCTTGCTAGAGGTGGATCCAGTCCTAGCAATAATCAGTGTCCAAGTGTGAATAAAATGCTTTTGCACATGGAGAGCTCTCTGGATTTATAAAGTGTTTATAATTCTATTTTTTGTAGACTTTGATACCGATGTGACTCACTGGGCAGTAGGAGTATTAATTAACTGTACCAGCTTCAAGGTGGACTGAGTGGGTATCCCTGAACAATCTGTGCATCTCCTCAGCTGTAATCGCAAGCCCTCCTTCCACAGAGGCTGTTCTGAGGAAAAGAAAAGGGACCATGAATTCCCTTGCAGCTCTGATGATAAACCTCTCATTATAATGCAGAGAAATCAGAAGTCTTCCTTGAATGTGCTTGTCCCATCTCCCAGAATAGTCAAGCTTTATGTGCAAGTAAGAAAACAAAGAATTGTACTTAATGTAGTTATTGCTGGCATACTTTGGGTGTATGTGCTTGAACTCATGACCAGTTATTCTCCCTGAGCTTTTTTTTTTTTTTTTTCCCTCAAAGCTGCCATTCTTACTACTTATGCCACACCTCCATGTCCAGCTTTCGGGTGGTTAATTGGAAATAAGAATCTCAAGAAATTTTCTGTTCAGATCTCAGCCTCCTGAGATATAAACATCATTACAGGGAAGGAGAAAGGTGCAGAAAGTGACAGGAATATTGGATTCTGGAGTCTAAGGACTGGGGAATGGGATCGTGACCCTATCCAACCAGACTAACAGCTCATCAAGTTCAAGGTCCATATCCAAGACCTCCTGGTTTCCATTTCCTTATTGTAAAATGAGAGCTTTAGATCTGAGGCCTTTGAAGAGTCCCTTACATAACCAGTGCTCAACTGTTTAGAAACCCTTCAAACAGAGAAGCTTCAAGTTGAAGACAAAATGAGCATTCTGTGTAGGCTGGCTTCTGCTCCGCAAGGCGGCGCTATGTGCATACAATGTTGGGGGCAGAGAGAAGGGACTCTCTGAGCAGGGAAGCAGGCTTTGGGAACCATATACCTCAGCAGGGCTGGCTCCGGAAGGCTTCATTATCTCAAGAATACTTCATTTATTTGTTGAGTCCTTCCAGAACTGAAATTCCAAATATAAATGTGAATAGACTCTAGAGATAAGTCTATAAGATTTAGGGGATTATAGACTGAAAGGCTCTAGGTTCAAAACACTATATGATAAACAAATCCGATTTCTTTTTTTTTTTTTTGGTTCTGATTTGGGGTTTTAACTCAAAGCCTAGGCACTCATTGTCCCTTAGCTTTTACCTTCAAGTCTGGTGCTCTACCACTTGAGTTCCATTTCTGGATTTTTTGGTGGTTAATTGGTGATAAGAATCTCAGGTGGGGAAGGTGGAGGTATGGCTCAGTTGGTAGAACTTGCCAATGATTGAAATTGTCAGGTACCTAGTCTGACATACCCTCCCCCCCAAAAAAAAAGTCTCCACTACTTATCTGATGGCTTTGAACCTCCATCCTCAGATCTTTTCCTCCTGAGTAGCTACACCACTTGGCTCATCTTTATTTTATTTTTTGCCAGTTATGGGGCTTTAAACTCAGGGCCTGGGCACTGTCTCTGAGCTTCTTTTGCTCAAGGCTAGTATTCTACCAATTAAACCACAGCGAGACTTCCAGCTTTTTCTGTTTATGTGGTACTGAGGAAAAGAACCCAAAACTTCACGCATGCCAAGCACTCTACCACTAAGCCACATCTATTTTTTAATAGCTCTGTTCCTTTGCGTATAACCCCAATCTCATCCAAATAATGGGTAATTCTTTTTCTTTTAAAAAACAATGGACAATTTAATATGGCCTATGTCACAGGATCGGTGGGGAGGATTAAATGAAATTAATGCATGGGAGCCAGCTTTGCAAGAACAAAAACAAACAAACAACAGATGGAGCAAAACAGATTTCTCTTGTTCATCCCCAGGAAAGAACGAGGAAGAAGCAGACCCCCAGTACCTCTTAAGAATAGATGTTTATATGCTTAATTAGTCTGCAAAATTTCTCTCCCACTGAGAAAACAAACACTCCCTTCAAAGGCAGAAGCCGTCTCCCTCCCCTCCTTTCTAGGAGCTGGGAACTGGGCTAAAATACAAACGCAGGAGGCATCCCCAGCCTCACGAGGAAGATGCTTCGTCCGGAGGGACCGGACACGATTCCCCCGGGGCCGTAGGCACACGTGTGTGTATGAGAAATGGGGACCAGGAAGGAAACAAATTCGGGTGGCGACGATGGAGACGAGGACTGGGGAGACGCGGGCCACGGGGGCGGGGAGCATGGAGGCCGGGCCTTGCCGGGTGTCCACGGGCCCGGGGGAGGCTGGAGGCCGGAGCCTGCGCCGCGCGGGGCCGCGGGGAGAGGCCCGGGCGCCATGGCGGCCCCGCCCCGCTCACCTTGCCAGTTGCGCAGGGCCTCGGACCGCAACGAGAGCCCCGAGGGCGCCAGCGGCGGCGGCAGCAGGAACAGGCGGGGCCCGGACACCAGCAGCGAGAGCAGCGCGGTGAAGAAGGTGGCGGATGGCACCTCGGGACACAAGCACCAGCCCCGATACCCGGGCCCCGCGGCCGCCATGGCCTCCTGCGTTCCCGCGCTGCGCCTCGGCAACCACGACCGTTCCTTCCGCCTCTCTGCGGCGGTCTCCCCTGGCAACAGCAGAGGTACCGACCGGAAGCCCCGCCTCCTGAGGCCACGCCCTTCATCCGAGCCGCCCAATCCGTGGCGCGGTCCCGGCGCGCGGGAAACTGGGAAGTGTGGTCCTCGCGCTGGGGCTGGAGCATCCCTGGCGCCGTGCCGAGCCAGGATCATATTCTGCTGTCCTTGATAAAGCCAGTAACTGGAAAGAATGAAGAGAGGAGAACTCTACTGAATGGCCAGGAATAGAGAAGCAGGAGTTTTGTTCACACACTAGCTTCTCCACTCCAAGGAGCTGAGGAGTTACAGACTGGCTAGGAATAATGAGAAGCATGGGTAAAAAAGGGAAGGTGGTGTTAGCGAAATGATTTCTTTCCCATAGCTTAGTCCAGTTCTTCCCCTCTCCACAGCTAGGCATGCCCCTTCCCTAGGCAACACCAGGCCTATGTAGTAAAGGCAGTAAATAATCAACTTCTTGCCCCCTTTACCTTGGGATGGCACTTCTCCGGGGCAGCAACCACCACATAAGGCAACAAGAGCCACTTAGAGTGACCTTTACGTCTGGACAATTGCAGGACCCTGATCTACTATTTGGATAGCCGCATGATGAAGCCCCTGGCCCACACGTCCACACCAGGGTCTCCGCCTCCTAGCCCCTTCTAACCCCTTCTAAACCTCCTAAGTTTAGGTCACCCCAGACAATAGCTGGTGCTTCTTCTCACTCCTCCCTTATGAGAAGAAGTCTTGCCTGCCCCCTTTCCCAGCAATAAACCTTTCTTTATTCGAGTGGTTCTCTGGCAAAGTCTAATTATCTTATTTAAGCTATCAGAAGGAATAGTGGGTGCTTGTGGCTCACACTGTAATCCTAGCTACTCAGGAGGCTGAGATCTGAGAATCGCGGTTCAAAGCCAGCCTGTGCAGGAAAGTCTGTGAGACTCTTATCTCCAATTAACCACCAGAAAACTGGATGTGGCTCTTGTGGCTCAAGTGGTAGAGTGCTCGCCTTGAGCTGAAGAGCTGAGGGACATTGCCCAGGCCCGGAATTTAAGCCCCACAACTGACAAAAAGGAAAGATAAAGAGAGAGAGAGGGGGGGGGGAAGGGATAGTTATGTCTTTTCTAAGTGGATGTTAGCCTGGCATAGAAATGTGGCCCTGTAATCCTGGCTATATAAGAAGAAGAAGTAATAAGATCCAAGTCCAAGGCTGGCCACTGAGAGACCTCCATCTGAAAAACAAAACAAAATAGAACTGGGACACAGTTCCTGTGGTAGAACACCTAACAAGAATGGGGCTCTAAGTTCAAAACTCAGTAGTAACCCCTACCCCCCAAAAGTCACATTTTTTTGTTGTTGGTTGTGGGTCTGAACTCTGGGCCTGGGCACTGTCCCACAACTCTTCAGCTCAAGGTTAGCCCTCTACCACTTGAGCCACAGAGCCACTTCTGGCTTTTTCTGCTTATGTGGTGCTGAGGAATCAAACGTAGGCCCTCATGCATGCAAGGCAAGTGCTCTACCACTGAGCCACCTTCCTAGCTCAAAAGTCACATTTTTGAGGATGCTGGAGCAATTGAAGACTTGAATGTTCCCAAAAAAGTAGGAGCCATTAAGGACAGGCACTGTGCAGTGGGGTTATGATGCCCCTAGACTATGCTTTCTTCATCCCCCCAACCCCTGCTCCAAGATGCCAGCTTGGAAACCCCCAGTCTTTCTATACAAGAATGAATCATGGGCTGGGAAGGTGGCTCAGTGGTAGAGTGCTTGCCTTGCATGCCTGAGGCCCTGGGTTCGATTCCTCAGCACCACATAAGCAAAAAGAAAAAAGCCG